ATAAATTTTAAAAAGCCTGGAGATGGAAAATGGAGTTGGGAGGAAGAGCAAGATTATCAAGTTAAGTGGAGAAGGAGAAAGAATTGAGTTGTGAGCTACATAGGGCTTTGAAGCGATAAGGGCCTCCATGTAAGCTGCACTGAAGGAGGCATAATATGGGCCTCTGCACAGAAACTTGCATTCTAGACCAGCCCCACTGTTTTCTAGCTATGTGTCCTTTTCTTCACACTTAAGATAAATTTATTTTGACTAGATAACTCCTCCTGTCATTTCGAACTCTAAAATTCAGTTATTCTGAAAAGGTAGAAATTATTTCCCAGTGCTTCTTGACCTTCAACCTAAATTTGAAATACTACAATTCAACATCAGCATCAACAACATCTACTGAATACCTGTTTTGCACACAATTTCTGCTAGCAAGATTACAACTTCAATGGAAAGACACAGCATATTTTTTAAATTACTACTAATAATTCCTTAATTCCTTAGTATTATCTAATAGCCAGTCCATATTCAAATTTCACCAATTGTTTAAAAATGCCTTTTACCATTTGAATTGTTCTGATGAAGATTTAACCAGACTTGACTTGTTAAACCCAGTTCATGTGTTTTACTGGTCTTGCTCACTTGAGTGAGTCTTCTCTCTTTTCTTCTTCTTGCCATTGATTGCTTTACATAGCAGGCGCATAGCAATGGCCATGATGAATTAAGTTTCTCTGATTTCATATTAGGTTTTCTTTCCACCATATCAGTGAGGAAAGGAAGATATTTATTACAAGGTCTAAAAGATTTAATTGTAACTAGTTACATTTTTATTTATTATAGTCAAGCACGTATCAAAATGATTTCTATTAAATTCATTCATTCAGAAAGGTTTAGAGACATTGTGAAACAGAAATCTAATAAAAAATTTTCTTAATATTAAGAACTTTTCCTAAATCCTGAATTAACTAAGAAATGACCATTAAATTAATCACTTTTTTTAACTTTAAAAGATGAAAAATTGTTACTTTTTAGGTGCCTATAATTCTGTTAGATTGCTAAAGCATATGTTAGGTTAAAAGTCAACGCAGAGGCCTTACTTTTTTTTAACTTTGTACATTTCATAGAAAGCTCATACATTTCTTCCATTCTTTCTCAGAAAAAAACAGCATTTAACAAATGTTTGGTGTAGCACTACTGAAAATATAAAGCTGTGATTTGCTAGTAGTTATAATTTGTTGTGTTCTTGAATAAAAACATTGGATACATAATAAAGACATTGTTATTTATATAGTTTAAAAATTTTTTTAAAATTGATAATTATCTACAGCTACCATCCCTACCTTGAGGATCTGTGTCAATCTCTCCTTGATGTTCTTTTCCTAGACTCCAAACAAAAGGTCACTTTCAAATACCTATAGAGCTCTGGCACTATTGTAAATGAGTGAAATGTATCACAGTCAGGGAAAGGAAGATCTGGGGACTTCTTGAAAGGGACAATAGTGATAAATTCCAGGCAATTTTTATTATGCAGGATTATGGACTTGGTATACCGTCTTGAAAGCTGGAAATGTAGATTTGATGTAAGTAGTCCTGATTTTTCAGAGTACTGTGTGGGCCAAACAAAACACATCTGCAGACCAGACTTGACTTGCAGGTCACTAATTTGAAACCTCTGTCATAAACTGAGGCTAGATTTAATTTCTTGTTTCCATCAACTTTATTTTTATTTATTTATTTAGACAGAGTCTTGCTCTGTCACACAGGCTGGAGTGCAGTGGTGCAATCTTGGCTCACTGCAACCTCTGCCTCCTGGGTTCAAGCAATTCTCCTGCCCCAGTCTCCCGACTAGCTAGGATTACAGGTGCCTGCCACCACACCCAGAAAATTTTTGTATTTTTAGTAGAAATGGGGTTTCACCATGTTGGCCAGGCTGGTCTCGAACTCCTGACCTCAAGTGATCCACCGCTTCGGCCTCCCAAAGTGCTGGGATTATAGGCGTGAGCCACCATGCCAGGCCTCCATCAACTTTAAATGAAGCTTTTTGAGTGGATAAAGAAAGTAAAGAACTACCATATTTTCTCATTTGGAAAAGCCTACTGCAGAATACCCAATTTACTGATGTGCTGATAACAGAAGGGAGGATAAAGGGTAGACCTACTATGTGTAAGCCAATCCAGTATGGAGACTATTTTGATTTCTAATGCTGAGGAATGTGGAAGATAGCACAGATGTAATTTGCAGGTAGAGAGAAAGGTGCAGACTCCTTAAGTAATTCTGACTTCCCCCAACCCCACTGTAAAGAATAAATCTGTAGCATTCTTCCCCAACTGTATGACATAAGCCTGGTTAAGAAGCAGTATTACAATTTTAAAATAGAGGCTACAAAAGTACATTCTGAAGATTTGCCTACATGGATCCTTGTCTCTATCCAGTTAGCTCTTTAGTGGAAATTCCACTGTGGCTGTGGGGGGTTTCATTGTCATGTTGTATATCAACTTGCATCAATAGGCACCACCAAGCATTTTTAGCTCTCCACTGTGGGCAAACTCTTTAAGCTCCCATGTGTATTACTGTGTTAGGGCCACACTAAGAAGGATCCACCTTTTCCACTCAAGGAATGGTTGTATGGGTTAAATTCTGTTATCTTTTTTATTAGGTCAGATAATAAAGACACTATCATAAATAGAGTGAGCTTTAGGTGGATTTGTGCTTAGCAAGAAGTGCATATCACCCTTCCAACACTTTGGTTGTACACAGATCAGAATGTATATTAACACATTCCCATCCATTTTCTCCTGGAACTCTTCCTTCACTTCATACTACTCACATATTTTGACTATACTGTTGTTGTTTTGAGATGGATTCTCACTCTGTCGCTCAGGCTGGAGTGCAGTGGCACTATCTCAGCTCACTGCAACCTCCACCTTCCAGGTTCAAGTGATTATCCTGCTTTAGCCTCCTGAGTAGCTGAGATTACAGGCACCTGCCACAACGCCCAGCTAATTTTTGTATTTTTAGTAGAGATGGGGTTTCACCATGTTGGCCAGGCTGATCTCAAACTTCTGACCTCAGGTGATCTGCCCGCCTTGGCCTCCCAGAGTGCTGGGATCACAGGTGTGAACTACCATGCCTGGCCTGCCCACACATTTTGAAAATTACATTTTGGAAGCAGCTCCCCGCAATGGGACTGAATTATCGAAGATTTTTGCCAAAATTTTTTTTTTTTTTTGATGGAGTTTCGCTCTTGTTGCCCAGGCTGGAATGTAGTGGCGCGATCTCACTGCAACCTCCACCTCCTGGGTTCAAGCAATTCTCCTGCCTCAGCCTCCCGAGTAGCTGAGATTACAGGCGTGTTCCACCGCACCTGGCTAATTTTGTATTTTTAGTAGAGACAGGGTTTCTCCATGTTTGTCAGGCTGGTCCTGAACTCCCACCTCAGGAGATCTGCCTGCCTCAGCCTCCCAAAGTGCTGGGATTACAGGCGTGAGCCACCGTGCCCGGCCTGCTCACACATTTTGAAAATATACATTTTGGAAGCAGCCCCCAGCAGTGGGACTGAATTATCGAAGATTTTTGCAGAATTGCTTAAAGAGCTAGGCGTTTATGAATTAACGATCATGGGTTCTGACTGCAGGCCCTGACCAATCCAAAGAGCAAACAGTTTATAAAGTCAGCTTGAAAAGTCTGCACAGCTTGAAAAGTCTGCATGCTGTTTTTGCCCAGCCTCCCTGGGGTGAGTACTTAACGCTGATCAGCATCTAAACACAACATCCAGAAACAGGTTTGTGCTGCTACTAGGATCAATAATGAGGATGGCAAAAACATTGGCAGAGAGATTCCAGTGGCCTTCCAGATTGCAGTGCAGAGACCCTGCTTGCTAAGAAACCAAAGCTAGGTATTAACCTTGGCATTAGAGAATGAGACTCTCCCTGTTTTCTTGAGGGTGCAGGGACAGGGAGACTGATTGCCAAGGCTATTCCTTTGCCCAGGTTGGTCCCTTAGAGTTGGGAAAAACTCCTTTATGCTATTTGTGTATATAAAGAGTCTCCAAGTTTCTTCTACTCTCCGGGTATGCTTTTTCAGGTGTCAGATGAACGTGATAATATTTTCTAAGAGATGATCTTCATGCTGACCACTTCTGTATGGGACAAGAGATCTTGAAGAGCTCATAACACCAGTAGCAGAAACCAGAAAAAGGTGCATATCTTAAACCCAAGTGACACATAAATTAGACATCAGTAAGATTACAGCTACTCTCATTCTGTGATTTGTAATCCATGAAAAATTGCTCGTAAAATGAATATTTTCTAAATGAAATAGGACTGAAGTCGTCATTTTGAAGAAATTTTCCTGGGACTGCTCTGTGAAATGAATCACCAACTCCTAATTTGTCTGCGTGGTAAATGCTAGGTTTGCCTAATGCAAGGTATCCCATTGATAAGGATGATAGCAGGGACCACAAACACTTCTTAAAATTACCTTTGCCTAAATGCTAAATACAGTATTGAAACTAGTTTTGAGGCTTCACATTAAGAAAACTATTACTGGCCGGGCGCGGTGGCTCAAGCCTGTAATCCCAGCACTTTGGGAGGCCGAGGCGGGTGGATCACGAGGTCAAGAGATCGAGACCATCCTGGTCAACATGGTGAAACCCCGTCTCTACTAAAACTACAAAAAATTAGCTGGGCATGGTGGCATGTGCCTGTAATCCCAGCTACTCAGGAGGCTGAGGCAGGAGAATTGCCTGAACCCAGGAGGCGGAGGTTGCGGTGAGCCGAGATCGCGCCATTGCACTCCAGCCTGGGTAACAAGAGCAAAACTCCATCTCAAAAAAAAAAAAAGAAAACTATTACTAATTTTGAGCTGTATAGATCATGAAGATGTTGAAAGAAGGAATGGGCTTACTCAATTTGGGGAGAAAAGAACAACAGTATCGTCACAGTTCTGCTTTTGAGTCTCCAAAAACCCCTCACATTAAAGTTACAACCAACTCTAAGCCACTTGAGTCATAGACCTAAACAGTAAACAATTCTTATTTGAGACAGAATAATTTGCTGATGATGGAGATTGTGAAGGCTGATATTGGGTGAATAAAAAAAGTTGTGGAAGGAGCTACTCTGAAGGCCTTGAAAAATAGACTACTTGCTCTCTTCTGCTTGATAAAAGTATGGTAGTTTCTGGGTTTTGGAGGAATCCTTAAGAAAATTCTTGAGATGATCTTTTTGGAGAAGGCCTGTGTAACACTCACAGTTACTTAATCCCACAACCATTTCCTGATTACCTACTAAAAGATGAACAAGACATCCTGTGTATCTTGTGGGTACTTGCAATTTAGAAGTAAAGTTATGTACAAAGGATTGTAATACAACATGGTAAGACTTAAAATGGAAACGTATACAGAACAATGTAACCCTTCTTGGTTAGGATTGACTAGAATATGTGCCAGTTTGAGTCAGTAGATGGCAGCAGAGATGCCAGCAAGAGATGTCACCTTCAGTGATTTGAATTGTTTTAAGGGGCAGAAGTGAGGCTGGTCCTATTGTTTCTCGTATCTTTCAATACAGTCATATTTTCTGGTTGGAAAGCTTGAGCAGCTCGAGCACCATTCTTGGGGGATTTGTATTCTTAAGAAGATGGCCCTTTAAAGAAAAAACTTACTCTATATGAAAATATTTAAATATCCAAGCGCTTTTTCATTTGTAGCTTTTCAGTGAAACAGGGATGAGGGCGGGGTGAGTGGGGTGAGTCTGGGCCTGGAGAGAGGGCTTTGTTTTCCAAACATAGGATTTATTTTCAAGACACTTCAAAGGCTGTATTGTAGTAGGAGCCTGCTTGTTAGGCAGCGATCCTACACTGTTAGACGCTTGACCAGGCCCCTCGTGGCTTGGCTGACTTTTCTGTTTGTGCTGTTTTCGGTCGAAGCACAGGCTAGCTGAAGAGCTGTCGCTGATGCCATAACTGTAGCTTTGAAGCCTTTTGGCATGCCCAGTGTATTCTGCAGGAAACTAAGAAACAGACTTAAAAATAACCCCTGCTGGACACCTTGTTGCCAGATTGTGAGGAGTTTGTTTTCCCAAAATCATTGAGATGGTTTCAGAACCAATTGAAGAGAGTGCCTGCTTATTCTGCTTGCACAGTGTTCAAGCCTGGATTCAAAGAGAGGCAATGAGATGAGTACAGAGGTGAAAGCAAGAGGCATCTCTGTGTGACTCTGAAGCAGACCCTCGCCTAGGAAGTAATTCTGAGACTTCTTTATGATTTTCTGACCAGAACTGGCAGCTCACAGATCCCCACACACCACGTAGCTTTGGAAGGGGGCCTGTGAGCCAAGGTTAAGACTTCTTTCACCTCACAGCTGGGGTTTTATTTGTCATCTTTGTTCCTCAGCTCTTTCTCCATCAAAAACAAGATAATGAGCTTATTGGTCAAGCAGCTTGTAATTTCCCCAGGTCAGCTGAGTGTCTAGAGGAGGAGAAACAAGGCCTAAAGGTCCCTGAGTAGGTGAATGCATTTGGGAGGACAGAGAATTATTTGTAATATGGAGTTTCTCAACCTCAGCACGATTTTGGATGGGATGACTCTTTGTTGTGTGAGGCTGTCCTGTGGCCTGGTTGACACAGGACACTAGATACCAGTAATCACCTCCCCGCCCCAACTCCCCTGGTTATCAGAAATGGCTTTCAGCCATGCCCAACCACTGAGGCAATTCTCCTGGCTCAGCCTCCCAAGTAGCTGGGATAAAAGGCATGTGCCACCGTGCCTGGCTAATTTTTTTGTATTTTTAGTAGAGACGGGGTTTCTCTATGTTGATCAGGCTGGTCTTGAACTCTATAGCACCACTAGTGTGAGTTTGCCTTGTGAGTATAAAAACTCTACCATTCCACAGTTAAATATCATAATTACTGGGTGGTTCTGTAGAGAGGGTTAGAGATAGCAAAGTAAGGGCCCGGACCTCCCTTATTTCTTTCTCCAACGTAAATCACTACTTACCATTGCAGATCCAGAAAGCATCTTGAGCTACGTGTGTGGAAACAAACAAAACAAAACAGGCCTTATCTCACTTTCAGCTCATAACTCAGAAATCTAAGTATCTCAGGAAGTCTTTTTTTTTTTTTTTTTTTTTTTTTTTTTTTTTTTTTTTTTTTTTTTTTTTTTTTTTTTTTTTTTTTTTTTTTTTTTTTGAGACGGAGTTTCGCTCTTGTTGCCCAGGCTGGAGCGCAATGGTGCAATCTCAGCTCACCACAACCTCCGCCTCCAGGACTCAAGCGATCCTCCTGCCTCAGCCTCCTGAGTAGCTGGGATTACAGGCATGAGCCACTGTGCCAGGCCAGGGATTCTTGGTAAGAAAGAAGTAACTGATGTGCTCAGATTTCTCTGGTAGGCAGAAGCATATCACCTTCAAGCATGAGCTGCCTGCCTTCTGAACTCTGCAGACCACCTCTCCTGTTCTCTGGGGTACATTGGCTTCTCTGTTCCTAGGTTTAACCTTTCTGCTTCCCACCTCTTGACCCCTTTCTATCTTCAGTTAGGAGCCCAGTCAGAGTTTGCAGGCCGTGGGAATGCTTGCCTGGAAGAATGAGAACCAAAGTGCCCTCAGTGGCTTTAGAATGTGACTTGTTATTGCATCCAGTTGTGCCATTTGCCACAGAGGATGATAAAGATGGCTTTAGTAGGTGAGAAACTGGCATAGCCCTTAAACCGACCAACGTTCAAACCAAGATTTATTACAGAAAGCTACAGAGATGATAGGATTGAAAACATGACCTTTTGCTAGAAAGCTGGTGGCTCCCTCCTTCCTCGTCTTCTTCATTTCTCTTTCACCTCTCATTAACCTTGAAGAAATATTAAAGATGAACCATAAAGGATCACTGGACAGAGAACCTTATAAATGTTTTCTACTTCTGCTTGAGACAACAAAAAGAAATTAACACAGGATGTGAAAACTAAATTATTGCAGGGAGACATTTTTGATAGTTGAGGTTTGTGAACTTCATAAGGGGTGACAGTACCAAAGGTGGGTTTGGAGTCCTCCTTAAAGGTCTTTAAGAATTGGCTGTGCCTATATCTGGCTGATTGATTGAGGAAGGGTGGGTCCTGCAGGGGAAGGGATCACCTTTTCAGTTTGCCTGCTCTGATGCTTAGATGGCGCAATACACATGTTGTGGTTGAACATGAGGTGGCACCGAACTTAATTGTCTAAATAAGGACTTGGGCAATGTTCTTCATGGTGTGAGTTACCTGACCAGACTCAACGGATGACAATCTTTTCTCTGCCTTCAGCAGGGCTCTGCATATTTACATCATAAGCAGTGTTGTGGGTAGGGTTCCCCCAGCAGATGACTCTGAGACAGACGTTGCGTGCAGGCTGTTCATAAGGAAGTGCTCTCCATACCCACGCTGTGGGGGGGAAGAGAAGAAAGCAGGGTTGGGCAGAGGGAGAAGCGAGCTCTGAAGCAGTCCCCACAAAGAGCTCAGCTGACCACTTGGAATGCACTGAAGCTGGGAAGGCCCTTCTGAGGTATCCCCAGTTGGAATGTTAAGCCAGGCCTTTAGACTCCTGGGGATGAGTCACTGGATGGGGTCTGCCACTGGGAGTAGGCATGACTTGGGCAGGGTGGTTTCCTTCAACCCAGGGAGTCTCAAGAGTGCTGATGGCCAAGGATCCTCCTCTGGCAGCTTTTCCACTATGTGAGGGAATAACCCCTTCTTTCATGAAAGGGGATCTGGGGAGCATCACAGCATCCACCATAAACAGCTTCCCCTGGCTGCTACTTGGGTCTGAGTCTTGCCTTCACCCTTTACATAAGAAGCCTTTTCCTCCAGGAACATATTTCCCTTCCCCTCATTCCGACCCAACCCTTTGCCACCCCAGTACAGGGGGTAAGTACAGAGGCACAGACACTATTTGTTCGGAAATTTATTCCTTCCTCCCTCCCTCCTTCCTCGTCTTCATTTCCCTCTTTCACCTTGCATCAGGCAGATTCTTGGCCTTGTGATAGCCGCCTAAATGGCAAGCTAAATGTCAAGCTGATTTCTTCCTCTTTGGACAGTTTCCATTCTCCCTTTCGTGGCTGCAAATTCCCTCTCTGTCCTCTGCAAACACCTCGTGGATGAATCCCCAGAGCAGTAGCGCACTCAACAGAATGCTGGACTGCAGCCTGCATGAGCTGAGGCACTCGTTTCTAGGAGCTCAGTCAAGGCCTATTTCCTCCATTAGTTCTCCAAAACAGAGAGAGGCCACAGAACCAAATGATCTCCATCACTCCTTCTAACTCCAGCGTCCCATCCTATTTTGATATGAAGAATTTTCACAACAGGAAATGGCAACAAAAAGGATGCCAGATTCCCCAGTTAGTCTTTGCTGTGTCTCTCACCCACACAGAATACCAAAGTCTCCTTTCCCAAATAAATGCAAGATGTGGGATTAGTTATGGCATAGCCTGAAGTGTCTGGGGGAGTGAAGTTTTAAAACCCCAGGACATTTTGGAAACCAGTCTGTGTTGAAATCAGCAAGTTCCTAGCAGCTCGTGTTGCAGCTGCACCTAGCTTCTGTGAAGCTCCTGTGTAAGGGTAAGTGAAGGTGAATCAGGACTTGAGTTGGGCTGTATTTGAAATGCACCGAGCAGCGCACGGCAGCAAGAGAGGTTTCCTGCTGGCTTCATTCTTCCGGCCTCCCTCCCCTTTTATGAATCTTAATTTAAATGGCTTTAGCTATCAGTGTTGGTATTTTCTGTAGCAATTTTTTTTTTTTAAAGGCACGAGGCACAGCCACAGTAAACACTGGCCCTTAGAAGGAACTCGGCTCAGATACCACATAGAGACCCCCTTCAAACTGCCCTTTCTGTTCCAGGCTGGGTGTCTCCTTCAGTAGTGACAGACTGAGGAGTGAGTGGCACACGGTAAAGACAGAGAAGGTAAACGCAGGAGAGAAACGGCTAGTGGAAAAGTGAACTTGGCTGTTCAGAGGGCGGAGCTGAGCTTGTTTGCATAGTAACGCAGGTGTGGTTACTTATTTATGAAACACATTTCTTATGAGGTGTGGAAAATAGGCTACCTGTGAACCTGATTCCTGGCCTAGAATGCTCACCGACAGCAGCCAGAGTCCAGCAGGGACCGTCTCCCAAACCCGCCATTTCACCTCTGTAATTCCCTGCAGGAGCAGCAGAATCCAAAACGTCTTGTTTATTTGTCTTTCCCTCCCGGCGAGACTCCCAGGTCCTAAAGAGCCGGGATAAGTATTTGATCACCATTGTTTTCCTTGGCACACAGCAGGCCTTCAGTAAATAAATGGGTAATGAATGAGCGTCGGAGTAACCTGCTGAGTGACTTGGCAGTGAAGGTTGCAGCAACCTGGAAGCTGGAGGCAAGTAAATAGAAGAGGAGAGCTTTTGGATCTCCCAGACTTAGACAACTATCCTGAAGTGAGAGGAGGGAGTCGTGTCAGAGCCTGAGGACCAGAAAGGAACCATCTGAAGTAGATAGAGGTCAGCTGGAGACACACGGCAGGAGAAAAGCCCTAACAAACTAGACCTTCTTCCAAGTACATGGGCCTGACTTCTTCAGAACAAGGCAAGAGCCAAAACAAAACCTTAAAAAAACGCCTACCCCTGAACAGGAATTCCCCCAGACTCACGGTAACGCCCTAGTTACACAGCAGAAAGAACAAAGAAGGGATTTAAGCATCCTGAAATCGAAACGGCTATTTGCTAAACGCGAGGATCAGCAGAATGGTTAGATTCCAGAAAATGCTGAACCTCTGAGGCCTCTGTTTTCTTCCATCCTGATGTTAGGTTGCTGGCAGCCCACGCTGAGCTGCTTTATGAGAATGTGCAGCTAGGCCACTGCCTCTAGAAAGATGAGGGAGGAAGGAAGGGCAGACTGGACTTGCTTGGAATGTGGAAGCTCTGTGTTGAAGGTAAGTGAACCGGCACCAGACACTGTCTGCTCTCTGCTCCTGCTGACCAATGAGGATACGGCTGGCCCTTTCAGTTAATTAGATGCAGATATGGGTATCTATCTCCGTGTATATATATCAGTCAGAGCCCACCTTACAGGAAAACAGAATTTATCCCCAAGGGTTTGAATAAAAAGACTTTAATAAAGAGATTATTACCAGAGATTTGGGCAAGGTTAAGAGAACCAATAAGGAATGTTGGGTACGCAGAGGCTGCCTCAGTCAGGAACCACTACCTCCCATGGAGATGGGGCATCAGGAGGAAGGAAATCCCAGTGCCAGAAGCAGGGAGAGCTAGAGCTCTGAGGAGGGTCCTCCGTGGGAGCTGTCATCACGCAGGGCAGGGACTCAGGGACATGGCTTTCAGCCACTGTCAGAGACAAGGCACCAAAGCGAGGAAGGGGTGGGGAGATACCTCACCATCACTGATGCTATCACTGAGTAAGGAAAGGGAAGCAGAAAGGCCTGAGGCCTCGTGGTCCTAAACAGCACTTGTGGGCTGGGTACGTGGGGTGTGTGGCTTATGGAAGATGTGGATCTCCTCTGATCGGTCTGTTTCCCCGACTGAGAGGCTGGATGGCTCCTGTGCAAGCTGGCATGAGTGACCCTCCAGGGATTTGGGAGCAGCAGGCAGCAGGCACTGTCATTAGGTCTACTTTACTGTAAGGTAATCCAGGCAAGAGTGGACATTTGATCTGGAACACAAGGTCTTATCACCAAATAAATATTTTATCATTCAAGTGCCCTCTGAGCTGATTCAGGGACAGGGCTTCTGTGCATGCCCGAGTCCTCTGCCTCCTCTCAGATGTCGAATGACCCCTGTCCAGGGAAGGGGTGGGGCTGGGGCTGAGCCATTAGAGGAGGTGGGAAAGGGGTGGGTCAGGAGACAGAGGCTGGGTTTTCCTTTCAGGACTTCTGCTGACGTGCTGAGTCACTCGGCTAAGTCATCTTTCTTCGCCTTAGTTTTCTTAACTGCGAAATGGAAATTATTTCCCAGCCCAGATCTAGAGTCCTTTTCTTTTCACAAAGATCAAATGTGATAGCATGTGAAAGCATTTTGGAAGGTGGAAAATGCCATAACAAATTTACCAATTATGAATACTGACCGTATCTTTTCAGAAAAGTCCCTGAGAAGGTCTAAACCATAGCTGAGCTGCTTTTATTCATTCATTTAACAGATATTTATTGAGCACCCGCCGTAGCCAAGGGCTTATTCTCTGCCTTGTGGATTGGCAGGGTTCTTTGTATGTTCTTTTCCACTCACCCAGCCTGAACTTTAGAGGTTCTGTGTTAACCTCTGCTGTCTAGGGTTGACGGGGAGTATAGAAGGAAGTAGAAGTCTTGTCAAGGAGTGACGGGAAATATGTTGGCAGAAATGAGATTTCAACACCCGCTGCTCATTACCTCCAGCCTCATTGGCATTCTGCCTTTTCGCTAAGGAGCTACAGGCTGGGTCTGCAGAGGGAGCAAGGCCTTGAGCGGCACTGCAGGGCACCATGGCAACCACACAGGTCTGCCACCAGGGAGTTCATGTCAGGTTGTACCTTAAAGCTCATCAGCTGTGGGCTCAGGAAAAAAAAAAAAAAAAAGGAGGAGGAGGAGGAGGAGAAGATGTAGGAGAAGAGAGAAACCCTTTCCCATTCTGTGAGGTGGAGAAAAGGGGGAGAGGTCAGCGTGATGGATACAGCTCAGACCGCGTGCTGTCATCAGCACACACTTTTCACTTTCAATGGCACCTCTGCTGGTTGGGAACTTGGGAGGCCGGGCCCCAGCATGGGTAAAGGCACACATGCCTGGCTTGGGTTGTGAAATGCCGGGATGTCCTGTCAGGATGTTAGCCTCTGAGCGAGAATCCGAGTAGATGGCTTTCCCTTGGTGGGCCAGTTCAGGAATCCCTGCTTGTCTCGGAGGGGAACCCAACTGAGCAGTTCCTGGATAAACCACCCCCTTCCTCTGTGCCCCAGACCCATTGCTTCTGGGTGGGTAATATTTTGCTGTTTCTTTCTGTATCTAATAAGTCAATCCTCCTACCTCATTCATATCCTGGTAAAACATATTGGTGGGCACCCAGTGTAAGCCTAAACCTGGATTATCTGATGAAACTTGCCCTAATCCAGAAGAAAGTTGTTGGCAAAGTATCACTAAATAAGCATAAAATAGTGTCCTTACTGTAACAGAAAAGGAAAAGAAATGTAGGGCAGGGTCCTGGGAACATGATGTGCCTTGGTACTTTTAAAAATGCCCCAACTCAAGGATACTGCGATCTGGTGAGGGAGACAGAAGCAAAGTTCTTGCTGTGGGCAAACCTCTGCCACCCTCATTTTTCCCAGAGGAAGGCCAAGGACTCCATGGAGTCTCAAATACCTGGGAGTGAGCCTTGTCTGCTAGGAATTTGTGCTTCTACACCTCTCTCCTTTTATCCTGCCTTCTGGTCATCCCCACACCAACATCTTTAAACAAATCTGGCCCTTTATTTGCCTCATCCACCTGCAGGCAGGCCAGGTGGCTGAGTAGGAACGTGTCTAGCGGTGAAGCGGGGCTGATGTTGGATGAGGAGGAAAGTACAATAGCCTTCTCCTCCTCACTGTCATTAGTTAAGAGGGGCTATATGATGATGGTGACGGACAGCCCTTCGGGGATTGACTTATTTCAGCTTCACTTTGCGGAGGTGCTTTGGGACTTTATAAAGATCCTCCTAGAGCTCTGGCAATTTGTCTTTTAGGCTTTCTCAGACCCAGGATACCATGTGGGTTTAGAAAATTTGCTTGTCTGTGCTGCAGGAGATGATGGCTGCCAGGTTCTTGGAGGAGAGGACCCATTGGTTGGCTATTTCCATAGGTGCTGTGCTGGCTGCGCAGTCAGTATTGATTTGTAGATTGCTCCTGTAATCACATTGCATTATGCTGCACTGGCCCAGGGCCTGTGCAGGGAACGTTTGTTCTCTGGAAGGTGCTAGTTCTCTCTTCCTTGGCTGCCCCTGCCACGTCTGCTGGGGTTCCCAACTTGTCACTGACATTCTTCCTGCTGGCTCATCGTTGAAAAGGCCTGAGAAGGCATCCATGCTGATGATTTTCTATGCACAGCAGCTTGGCTTCGGCTCTGGAAGGTGCTTTAGTTTGGGAATATACGGTGGGAGGGGGCTGAGCTGAGGCAAGTTCTTGAAGAAAGATCATGCATTTATGTCAGAAACCTGCAGAGTAAGAGTTTGAAAATACCCTGGGGAGAAGAAATATACTGTATTTGGAAATGAAAATAAGGATTAGTGGCCAAGTTGTTCTTTCTCAATTAGCACCTCATCCATGCTGCTGGGAGCACTTGATGATTAAGTGAAAGAGGGTCCAGCCTGGGCTACATCATGAGGCCTTGTCTCTACGGCAAATTAAACAAAAATTGGCTGGGCTTAGCCAGGCGTGGTGGGGCACACCTGTGGTCCCAGGTACTCAGGATGCTGAGGCAGGAGGAGTGCTTGAGCTCAGGAGTTCAAGGCTAAAGTGAGGTATGATTGTGCCACTGCAGTCAGCCTGGATGACAGTGAGACTTTATTTCACAAAAAAAAGAGAAAGGAAAAGAAAGAAAGAGAGAGAAAGGGGCTGTGCTTTTCAGAAACAGACATAAAGGTCTTAGAAGACTCCTGGGTATGCAGGAAATATTATATAAGTGTTTAATGAAATATGTAGCAGAACCAAAGGCCAGAATGGGACTGGAGGAGCTGTGGATAGGAATATGCAGCTGGCGTATTTGGGGTTTAGGGAAAGTTGTCACTGATGGTACAGAACAAGATGTATGAGGGGCTGTCGCTCCATGAGAATTCATGAATTGCTGCTGGAGGAAGGGACTCCCCTGCACCCTTAGTTAAGTACCCAGCACATGTTAGGTGCTTCCAGATATCATCTCAACGAATCAGCCCCATATTCTATGAAGCAGGTGTTCCTGTCACATTTTTACAGATGACAGACTGCCTAGGGTCACACAGCTGCTGTGCGGAGCCACCTCTTGCTCTCTGAGGAGGAAATCAGAGCAGAGGACAGAGCTGGGCTGTTCTCCCTCCCACCTTGTCGTGGGGAGGGGCAGCACACCCTCAACCCCTTCCCCAGTGGGCTCAGGGCCTCACGGTGGGAAGCAGGTCCCTGCCTAGTAGAATTGGAGGGGCCAGGTCCTAGCGGAGTCACTTTAGCACATGCTCAGGGGGCTGAGGCCACCCTCTCCCTGCAGTTCTCTAATGAGGCCCCTGACTCGTCGCTCTCCCTCTCTCCAGGGACTTGTTGGCCAGAGGCCCAGGCTCTGCTGATAGAGAACTGACTAATTTCCTAAAATAGGAAGCCTCCGTACCTACCCATTCTCTTCCTTTGGCTGAGCCAAGTGGGGGCCTCCTTAGTATAAATCTCCCTTTTTGGGTTTATCAGAAGAAACTTTGGCAAAAAAGACTGGGGTTGAATGGGTATCTGTGGCCCTACAGGCAGTTTGCAGACAAGGAATTTCTAGCCATTGAGCCTGGGGGTTAAATGGAGTGACAGAGGGGTGGTGGCGGCACAGGAGCCTGAGCCATCCCTGATTAAAAGAGGAAGGAAGCCCGAGGAGCCTCAGTAGCTACCCTGCTGATTTCCTCCCTTCTTGCAGCTGTCCAAAGCTAGGAGCTCCAAGTTTGGCAATAGAAGAATCTGAATTGCGAGGTGCGGCGGCTCACGCCTGTAATCCCAGCACTTTAGGAGGCCGCTGTGGGCGAATCACCTGAAGTTGGGAGTTCAAGACCAGCCTGACCAACATGGAGAAACCCTGTCTCCACTAAAAATACAAAATTAGCTGGGTGTGGTGGCGTGTGCCTGTAATCCCAGCTACTCAGGAGGCTGAGGCAGGAGAATCACTAGAACCTGGGAGGTTGCCGTGAGCTGAGATTAGGCCATTGCAACATTGCAACAACTCCAGCCTGGGCAACAAGAGTAAAACTTTGTATCAAAAGAAACACACACACACACACACACACACACACACACACACACACGAAGAGTCAAACGTTATTTCCAGTCCACAGGTCCTAGAGCAAATCTTCTGAGTCTTGGTTTTCTCATTTGTTTAATGGCTGCAACAGTCCTTGTCCTGCTTACTCACAGGTTTATAGCAAGGTGTAGAGAGGTAGCCTCTGTAAGCATTCAGTGCTGGGTGAGGCGCCGTCCTTATACTTCTCAAGCTAATTAGAGATAAGCTTGTGTTGGCTGAGAGATAACACATGCATGCAGGGCCTGAACAGGCAAGGTGAGCCCCAGCCAGCCTTGCTCTCTCGTGTAGAGCTTCCTTTCTGCAGCTCCAACTGGATCAGCCTCTCTTCCCCAAGCCCCGCCTCTCTTTCACATGGATTTTAAGACTGGCCATGCACTTCCCTGGTTTGCTATTTGGTTTTTGCTTGGCTGCTTTAATTCATCATTCAGTTACATGGGTTCTTCTCTCTTTCCACAATCAGTTGATCTGAAATAGGATTTTACCTAATGAAGCAGAATTTCCCACTCTTTTGTTTATGAGAGGTGTGGGTTTGGTTTTGTTTATTAATCTTGTTTTGTTTTTACTGTTCAGAGTTTACCTGATATACTGGGTTTCCAACTTTGCTTGTGATTAGAGGGAGAGGCCATAGTAAGAACATCAGTATGAAGGTCCCTTTCCCTTCTCCTGTGTGTGTTTCTGCCTTGAAAAATCGTAAGGACTGGGAAGGGACAGACCTAGTCTTATAATCAAAGTCACGATTACATCATTCCTATTCTTTATTGACTCTATTAGTGGTGAATTTGGCAGAACAGACAGGTTCATAAACATGGGGCCTGATCCCTCTGCTGGTGGCTATGGGAATATTCTTGAGGACACAGTTGCCACCCACTCTCACTAGAATAAGCAGGGGCTGGGGGAAGGCTTATCAGAGGGACCCCTGCTCCTCTCTTGGCATGGTTGGCTTTGGGTGTTTGGGGTGGAGGTGGAGAAAGAGATAACACTGGGAAATAGAAGACAAAGGCAGAATGGCTAAACCAGAGAGGGTTCCCAGGCACCTAAACTGGAAGCAGAGTCTTGCCCAGAGCCCCTGGTGAGCAATGCAGTGAGATGTCCATGCCCGCCTCGGAGGCTGGAATCAGTACCCACTCCTCAGTGGCAGATATAAAAAAAGCAAATCGGGTCTCTGTGCGTAAGGAGCTGAAGATCTACCAGAGATTAAAATAATCCCTGAAGCATGAAAGATGTGGCAATTCTTATGAAACAGCTGGGTGTGTGGGTGGCTCTGAGGACAGCATTTTCCCTGGGCTCACTTTGGCCTTCTGAACCAGCAGAATGGAGTAGATTGACAATCTGTCTGTCTCTCTTCTTCCCTCCTTGCTTCCCTTCCTAATTGAAAGCCTACTATTTGTAAAACACTGTGCTAGCTTCTGGGTGGGGATTAATGTGTTCCAATAAGCGATTCAACAGTTTCTATGCAGGGGTGTCAGTGCCAGAGTTGGGGAGACTATCAAGCTATGCCACCTGAAGGAGCGGGGACTGGACTTTCAATACCAGTATCAGGACAAACAAGTCTTGTCCAAGGGCATCTTTCTGGACTGACCACAACATCCTAACCTCAGCTTCTGTACCTGCTCTGTTCTTTTATTCCTGCCTTTGAATCCAACTCCTTTGCATAGATCTCTTCTCCACATGGGCTTTTCCTTTATCTCAGTGTCTGACTTAGAAAGACCCCTGATATCGCTCTCTGAGGCAAGGCTTTGGTATTGGAGCCCCTTTCTTCCCTCGGCCAGATTCCCAGTTTGACTCCAGGCAAATTGCGTAGGCTGACATTGAGAATACAGGGCTTCAGTCTGATTGAAGAGACAAGACCTAAACACAGAACAAGGTGTTGTTGTTTTTTAATATATATCATGTTAATTGCCCAAAGAACAGGGTTCTGTGAGATCTCAGAGGGCTGATTTTGGTTCTGAGAGACAGTCAGGATTTGCATAAATGGAAAGGAGCAGGGAGTGAGTGCATTCTTGGCAGGAGAAAAGGCTTCAGCCAGGGCTCGAGATGGGAATGTGCTTAATGAATTCGAGAAACAACGAGGACACTGGTGTGCTAAAAATATTCACCAAGCACCTTCCATGCAGGGGACACATAGCAGACAGAAAGAAAGGGCAACAAGTGATCTTTGTCCTCAAGAATTCTGTAGGTATTTGACGATGAAATGCCCCCATCAGAGCAGAAAAGCCTGAAAGAAGTCTAAGGAATAAAGCTGGAGGCAAAAATTGAGGGTGCAGGAAAGTGTCAGCTCTCCCATCCCAGAGATTCAGATGACTAAAAAATGTGTGCTTAGGACATAATCTTAGTAAAGCTGCAGATTATGTTTAAAGCAAACATTTACAAAGAGAATTGGCATGAGGAATGTGCAGAGAGAGGAAGCAGTTCTGT